ACTTGGATGAGTCTTGAAGCCTCACTGAACATTTAGGCAGAGTGAATGATTGACAGGCACAAGACCAATAGTCCTGAGCCCAGAAGGCTATGAGGAAAGCACTTGAATTTGAACAGATTTCAAGAAAATATAATAAGACTATGGACTTCCCCTCTTCACAGTTTTACAGCAATAGAAAGAGAAGTAAAGTTGCTTTAAATTGTCCAATAATGTCAGGCTCTTAATTTCAATAATCCTGAGCATAGTAATAATGGTCTCTTCAATTCAACTTGACTGTGGTTTGCATGCACCAAAACCCCAGAAATGCTGATCAAGTCCCATGCTACAAATTTGGGGTTTTATGGAACTGAAAGGGGGTCACTATTAAGGAATAAGATTTTGGGGCATTTAAACTGGGATGGGGTATCATCCTTCCCAAGCATTAAAATGAAGATTTATTAGAGAAAATCAGCAATAAGGAGCGCAAGTATATTTAAAGGATGTGGCAAAAAATGTGAATATTTTATCCAAATCGAAACATCTATTCTTTCCCCTGGTAATTTTAAAGAAATCAGAGAAATTTGGGGAAGTGGTGCCCGAGAGCACTGTATGCCTTCTGTCTGGTCACTGTGGTTCATAGGCATTGAGCCTGGTCTAAATTCATTTCAAGATGGCCCAGAGGTATGAGTAGGACAGGAAACTTTAGGGTATGATGACAGGAAGCTGCCATGATTAATGATTTCTGAAGCTATGTGGTAGTATGGAGAGAGGAGGAGAAGGTCACAATACTTTTCAAACTGTCTGGGTATTTAAATAAATACCTTTTTATTAATAAGTAAATAAATCAATTTTGAAAATGTCATTTAGTCACTATTTTGACTTCTATCATGGAGAGGAGTTGCAAACAGACCAAAACATAAACAGACAAATGGAGAACTTATTAACTACTTAAAGTTGATAATCACACAGATGTTGTATAACTAAGAAAAAAGACATTTAAAGGATGTATTGAAACAAATGTCTTAATTATTAAGTTAGGATCTAAAAATCTAACCTGATGGATGGTTTAGAACATTCAACTTTTCAATTTTTGTTGGTTGGGAGAATGACACCCATATGATCAGAGCTCCCGTCTGGTAGCACAGTGCTGCGGTATCCGGAGAAGGCCATATTAGAATTTCATGGCTGCTCTTGAAGCAAAAGAACCAATAAATGTAAATAAAAGGCCGCACAAGAACCCATCCTACCTTTCAGAAGAGCTGACTTTACAGTGGGCAGCTGAGTGCCACTGTAGGCCCAGCATGGCAGTGAGTGGTAGGGAAGCCCCCTCACACTGAGGCTCAGGCCTATTCTGCCAACCTCTATACAAACTTCTCTTGCACAGGTTAAGGCCAGAAGCAGTTACTATAGGAAATCCAGGCAGGGCCTAGATGTGCTAGATGTCTGGATGTACAGGGAACAGATGGTTACTGTGTGGAGAAGCGGCATCAGCCGGGAAGATAGAGACATCTGCAGGAAGCTTGTGAACTGGTGAGACAGCGCATCCTACAAAGCGCTTTGAGAATTTGGGTTTGATCTCCAGAGCCTACGGTAAGTAAACCAGCCAGGGTGTGGTAATGCATGTTTAATCCTGGCACTGGGGCAGTGGAGACAAACAGATTGTTAGGGCCCAGTGGCTTGCCGGTCTAGCCTACTTAGTGAGTTCTTGGCCAGTGAGAGACCTTATTTTGTTTTTTGAAGGTGGACATCACCCGAGGAACAATACCAAGGTTTTCCTTCACATGTATGCACACACATGTAAGAATACACATATGCACATACACATGTGCTCACACTCACTCCCTCCTACAAGGATTAAGAAAGTATTGGGGCTAGGAAGGCGTTCTGCAAGTGGGAGGAGGTTGGAGAGAATCAGAAGCAAGCAGTGTGCTCAAGGAAAGGCAGAAGAATAAGGACAGCCCCTGAAGCATAGAGCTGACTGTTGTTTCTCCTGCACATGCAGGATGTATAGCCTGGGTCTGAGCACTGGGCGAGAGGAAGCCAACAGAGAGAAGGGCAGGGTGGAAGGGCAGTGTGGAAACTAGTGAAAGCTGCCTATGTTTAATCTCAAAATGTGTGGTCAATGGAGGAGCATGAATTCCATCGGGAAATTTGATAGAAATACAGATTCTTATGCTCATTCTATACCCCTTGAATCAGAAACTGGGGGTTGCAGTGGAGCTCAGCCATTGCTATTTTAACAAACTGTTTATGCATTGTGGGTATGTCAGGAGTTTGAGAGCGTTGGACTGTATCACCAATTCTTAATTAAAAGTGATTTTAACCTCTAGGAATCATTTTTCAATGTCTAAATATATTTTGGTTTATCAAATTGATGAGAGAGGCAGGGAAGGAATGAAGAAGAGGAAAAGAGAGAGGGAAGGAAACAGAGAGGGAAGGCGAGAGAGAGAGAGAGAGAGAGAGAGAGAGAGAGAGAGAGAGAGAGAG